TGTGGGGCAGGGGGATGGAATGAAATCCTCCATTCAGGGCCCGGAGTGGTCACCCACAAGCTTGTGGCTTATAGGTCAAGTCACCCTGAGCCATAGTTACCTCATCGGTAATACATGGGATTGGCTGTATGACTTCCAGCTCTCTCAGGTCTGTACCTCTGTGGCCCCATCTGAATGACGAAATCTATTCTTGCTGCTGGATGGAGAGTAGAAACTTCCTGCTCATGTCTTACTTGTCCTATTTTGAAAGGACTCCAGATTTGTAAATCCCTTAAAGGAAGTACATGATTTTCAGAAATATCCTCAGGGAGGCCCTGAATTCTAGCCTAATTTTTCCATTGCAGCTATAAGCATGTAGCCTGAATTGGCTCCTGCAATCTCAGATGTCTCCTCCCCAAACATGCTCACAGAGGCAAAGGATGGAAGATATGGATCCAGGGTGATTTCCCTCTGGTGTTTGCTGGCTCTGTAGCGCTTGCTAGCCCTCTGTTCCAGGCCGCTGTTTGATTTGGCCTTTGTTGGCGAGGCTCCGGGCGGTGGGGCAGAGCTGCCATTCTGTATGCAGCCCGAGAGAGTCAACATTGAAAAGTCTGTTTGGTTTTTGGCCTCCACCTGTTGGAAGCTCTGTAACTGTTGCCATTCATAATAAGGAAGAAGGAACAGCAGAGGGATTTCTGTATTAGAACAATGAATGTTTTCACTGTTCCTCTAAGGGGGCCAATAATAGGAACTGGGCTTAAGTTAGAGTTGAAAGCAGCAAGTGAATAAGAAAAAACAAAGAAGTTACAGATGCTAGGAGAAAGGATGCGACAGAGCATCAAGGTGACTCTGGAAGAGGGTACCTCGCTTCCTTGGAAGTGTCCCTGTGCCCTTCAAGTCAATTTTCTACTCCACTCACCCCTGACACTGGCTCTTCCCTGCCCCACCCCAGAGGAGGCAGCAACTCACAGCACAAGCATCTAAATGTTACTTACTCCACCGGTCAGCCCAGACCCTCCAGCCATTACCTATTTTCTTGGTTCATAGAGGAAACAGGGACCATGATCTGGGAGCTCTGCATCTATTTTCCTCCCACCGCCTTGCTGCCATCCTCACTCATCTTTACCTCCTCCCCCTGCTTCTGAGACTTACGGGCTCCTCCTAAGCCCTTGTGCTTGCCAGTCCTTCCTGCCTCTTCTTATACCAGGGCCATTGACCCTTCCTCACTCTTCATTCTTTCTCTCTTCATCAGATTCTCAACCTCGTCTATAAACCTCTTCCAGTTTCCTGCTTGGTTCTTCTGTTCCTCTCTCACACTATTTGTCCCCTCTACTGCCAGCCTCCTTGAGAGTGGTACCTCCTTACTTCTCCATTCCTCACTTCCATTTATTCCCAAACCATTGTGTTAGGGCCTCCAGCAACTCATCCAAAAAAAAAAAAAGAGAGAGAGAAAGAAAAAGAAAACAGAACACAACCAAAAAATACGCTGTTCTTGGGCCAATGACCTTCAAACTGCCAATTCCAATCCAGGCTTTGCCGTATGTATTTACCTTTTGTATGTTCACTCAACTATCATGACTTAGATGCTTCTTACATGTCAGAATGCAGGCCAGGAGGACACCAGAATACCTCTAATAAAACCCAAGTGTCCTAGAGAATAGCCCATTAGGTTTTTGTCTGCCAATTGCTTTTCACTGTGGATGACTTTATGTGCCCTTTTCTGGAAGTTGACTGGGTCTGGGCAGGCAGAGGAAACTAGAGTCCACTGGCAGTCTGGTGATCAGGGAGTATGGGTTGGAGGACATAACAGCTTAGGGCCCCAGTGGCACACATTTCCTGGTGTTGACATGACTTAGCGGTGGCCTCCTAGGGTGGCAGGGTTTGCAGCTGCTGTCTGGGGCTGCAGGCCCTGGTGCTAAACCAAGGCCATTCTCCCAGCAAGGAGCACAGTGGTAAGTCACTGGCGGCTGGGCAGGCTGCACAGCTGGGGAGCATGACCCAAGTGAGCTCAACACTGGCCAACGTCCTGTCCTTCTTTCATGGCTACTGTCTCTGTCACAGCCACCATCGTACCGAACTGCAATTGTCAATTCCCTGGCTGATTTTCTGTGACACTGAGAGCTCCTAGGGAAGCGCCTCGGTCCAGACCAGCTGTACAACTTGAAGGGTCCAGTGTAAAATACAATTTATATGGCCCCTTGTTCAAAAATTAAGAATTTCAAGCAGGTGACAGGAGAGCACTAAACTATGTGTGAAGCCCTTCTAAGTGAGTGGCCTATGTCAAGGGTCGCCAACCCCTAGGCCACGAACCGGTAATGGGGTACTGGTCTGTGAACCCTATTGTGAACTGTGCATGTGAGGGATCTCGTTTGCACACTCCTTATGAGAATCTAACTAATGCCTGATGATCTGAGGTGGAACAGTTTCATCCTGAAACCATTCTCACCCCCCACTCCCATCCCCGGTCCATGGAAAAATTGTCTTCCATGAAACAGGTTCCTGGTTCCAAAAAGGTTGGGGACCTCTGGCCTATGTGAGTTCATAGCTCACATGCCCAGGAAGCCAGCCTTGCCTAGGTCTTATTCATCACCTAGAGAGTGCTCAATAAATCCTCATTGAATAAATGAGTTTGGGTTTCTCCTGCAACACTGAATCAGGAAAGCAGTGTAGCCATGGGGAAAGAGGAAGTGGAGATCCTCATCCTTCCCACGGTCCAGGCTAGCTCCATAGCCTGGGGCCAATCAGTGAATATCAACTGTGCCTCAGTTTCCTACATCCATACATGGGAAGAACCATCTTTTCCCCGTCGCTTTTCTGCCATGCACCAAGAGTAAAAGAGGCACAAATGTACAAGCTCAACTTGCAGCAATTAATGTGATGGCTCTGTGATTCTGAAGGACACCGTGAGTGTGGTGTTCTGTTAAAGAAAATGCCAGCAAATCCGAGACATCCCCATAGAAACCAGAAGATGTGGTTAGTGTTTGTACCATGAAATGTCTACGTGTTCTGAGGTGGGCTAAAGGACAGTTGCTTTTCTTCCCTATTAAATAGGTGGTTAGACTCAGACATAAGGGTACAGGAAGCAGAACGGTGTCAGAGACAAAGACGACTGCATGGAGTTTGGTGAGAAACCATCCCCAAAGCAGCAATTTTTTGGATGAGTCTCAGCCTTTCTGAGCCTCTGTTATTCCAACTGCAAAGTGATACAATTAACAATAACAAAAATTTGATAAGAGCAAATACATTTGACATTTTTAATGCACCTGCTACTATTCTAAGCCCTTTAAAGATACACATTTATTTCGATTCATAGAACACCCCATGATGCAGGAGCTGTTACTATCCACATTGTACTGAGAAATGTGGAGAAAGTTCCAGTAACTTGCCAAGGATGTAGCTGGCAAGTTGGAGCACCGAGATTTGAACCCAGGGCTTTGGCCTCCAGAGTCTGTGCACTAACCACTATAATACCTCTGAGACTGTGAGGGGCAAATGAGTGACAACACATTGCTTTGGAAGTGAAAGGCGATCTAAACGTGCAAGTATTAACAGTATTAAAAACAACAATAACAATGGTAGGTACCTCCGATGCCTCTGACTTTATTTCTCTGGTCACAGTTTTCTCCTCTGTAAAATGGGTGGGCAGGCTTTGCGTTGGATAATCTCTGAGGTCCCTTCCACTTCTCCGATTCTGATAATGCAAGGTCCTTCTTTCCTCACATAGGGCTGAGAGAAGGGCAAGCCACCGGCTTGCAGAACTTGGAGGCTGATACAGGGAAGCCTACCCAGGACAGAGCTGGAAAAGCCAAGGCACACAGGGGGGACACACCAGAGGGCAGGCCTCAGAACCCTGACAGCCTTCTGAAACTCTGGTGGGGTGGAGGGAGGTTGTGGGCTAGTGGCTGGCTGGGCTGCAAGGAGAAGAAAGGACTCCACAGAGCAATTTATAACAGCTGCTCAGTAAGTGCTCATTTGTTTCTCCCCACCTTGGAATAGGGCTTAGTGTGTGTGAGGGGGATGCTACATAAACCAGCACTAGAACCATGGGCTTACCAGAAAGAACTGGGGCACTCTGCAGGGGCAGTGTCTGGGGAAGGGTTCTCCAAAAAAGGTGACATTTCAGAGGGGCCTGGATGGATGAGTAGGATTTCAACAGGCAGAGATGAAAGGGGAGGGTGCTCCAGGCAAAAAGCAAGAACTCCCAGCAGCCGTGAAGAACAGCTGGTGTTTGGCAACAGCCAGTGTGTCCAGAGCAAGTGTTGTGTGTGTGTGTGAGGGAGAGAGGGTGAGGCTGGAAAATTAGGTTGTGGCCACAGTGGGCAGGGTGGGCCTTGCCTTGTGCACTAGGCTGAGGGGTTATCCCGCGGCCTGAACACCTTGGGAGGCCTTTGAAGATTTACTTAGTGCTTTATTAACAAATAGGTATTGGGCTTTGGGTTTTTGGTGTTTTGTTTTGTTTTTTAACGATTCATGCCCACAGTAGAATAGACAGAAGGTTCAGAAAAGTATGAAGAATAAGATCCCCTTTTAGTTTCTGTTCCCAGAGATAACAGCTGGAGTGACGCCAGGCCGTTGGCGGGTTTTCGGGGTGCACTCCTAGACACCACCTCTCCAGTGAGTCAGCAAGGGCCGGACTGATGCCCCTCCTTGGGAACCTGAATCGGGGCAAGGAGCCTAGGGGGCCTAGGGGGCAGAGGGGCCGGGGAAGCCCGACCAGTCAGGCAGGCTAAATCGGCAGGGGCCCCGCCCTCGCCACTCCCTGGCAGTCTCAGGTCGCGCCTGCCGGCCCAGACCCGCCGCTCGGCGCGCGCACGTCCAGGAGGGCGCCCAGGGGGCGCCGCTTCCCCTTGAGCTCCGCTGGGGGGCTGGTCCAGCCGCGCGGATCCGGGCGGAAAGAGTCGGGCGGAGCGGGCGGCGGGGCAGGTGGCTGCTTGATAGCTGTGAGCCGAGCGGGCGCGCGGGCAGGTCCGCGGGAAGCGTACACGCTCAAGGTAACGTGGAGGAAGGTTGAGGCTTGAGGGTGGGCACCCGGGGCGCGGCGCTTCCTGCCTGCTTCTCCGGCTGCGAAGTGTGAGCGCGTGTGTGCAGCGCATGGAGTTCGCAGAGGGCCTGGCTGGAGGCTGTGTGCCCTTGGGTGGGAACAGCTGGCTCCCCCGCCATCCCCACGCCTGGCCTGGCCCTTGCTCCCCTCCCGGTCACTCGGTAACGGGACTGGAGGGGAGCCGAGAAGCCCTAGGGTTTTGGTCAGGAAGGGACCTTAGGAACCCTCCAGCCTCATCCAGCCTCTTCATTTCACAGATGAGGAAACAGGCTCAGAAGGGTAGAGTGACTTGACCAAGGTCTCAGGTCTGAGAACCAAAACTCCTACCTTGCAGGTCAATGCTACTAGGAGCCCTGGCCACGCAGGCAGCACCCACAACTCTTGCCATGTGTAGAAACAAAGAACCGAGACAGACAGAAAGACACAGAGAATCTCCCAGAGCAAAGGAAGGCGGTCAGGAAGTGGGCGGCTGCTGAGGCTTGGCTTCCGCCCTGGCCCCAGCGTGTGTGCTGGTCTGGCTGTGTGGCTCAGCGGCCCTGTGCTGACTCTGCCCGTGTGTGTGTGTGTGTGTGTGTGTACACGCGCCCATGCGTGCTCGTGGTGTGTGTGTGTCTGTGCACCCATGCATGCCCTGGATGCAGTGAATGTGCCCTGCCACGTGGGAAAGCCCTCTGAGTTCATTCATCTGCTTACAAGGTGTGCTTGGGAACTTGCCCTGTTTGGCTCTGTGGAGGACACCAGGAGTCTCAAAGGAATTCCTTCCGTGTGACTCTAGAGGACAGAAAGGGTCAGTCCGTGGGAGTCCCCAGGGTGGTCAGAGGTCAGGAGGAAGAACCTAACTCGTGAGGTGGTGAGTTCCTTGTCTCTGGAAGAAAACAGCATGTACCGAAGAGTCTTTTTATCAAGGATGTGGGCATAGGGATATGAAGTCAGGGCAGCTTGCTCCACGTGGAATCAGCATTTTTGTTGGAGGGTCCAGGGTTCATGCCCCTTTTCAGGTGAAATTAACATGCACAACCTTATGGGATAGTATTTGTCCATAAGAGCAACTTTATGCGTAGTTTTTGAGTGATAAGTGAGGGGCTTCATGTATGGCTTCCGAGGTCCTGTCACCTCTCGGTTCTATACTGTAAAGCATGTAGAGTCGGGAGTCTGGAGGAAGGCGGTTACTTCTGGAAGGAGTGACTCGCAGAGGGCGTCCTGGAGGTGGCACTGAGGCCGGGCCTTGAACAGGAGTCTGGGTCTGGGCATCTTGGGGAAGGACGGCTGAGCAAAGCCATAAAGGTGGGATGTACCTGAGGAGCGAGGAAGAAGGTGGTGGACAATCCGGTAAGGAGTGCTGCCTGGGAGAGATGGCAGAGGCTTGGAGTGTTCGCCTCGTTATTAAGCCTAGGGATGTTTTGATGGTTTCTAAGAAGGGAAGTGGTGTTTTTGATGCTGGATTCAGAAGAGCATGTCATCTGCAGCTGGGTATGGGATGTCCTGCAGTGGAGGAAGCTTTGGGAACAGAACCTGGGAAGAAGCCCGTTGCAGTGACCATGAGGGGTTGAACAGAGCTGGTGGGAATGGACAGGAAGGGGCTAAAAGTCTTGGGGGTGGGGGAAAAGTCATCTGCCATGTGCCGGGGCCTGTGGTAGGAGATTTGCATGTTTAATCTCATTTATTCCTCCTGACAGCTTCATGAGGAGATTGCTATGATCGTTCCATATTGTAGAGGAGGAAACTGAGAGAGAGGTTAAGTGGTTTATCCAAGGTCATATAGCAAATAAGTGGTGGGTTGGGGATTTTAACCCAGAGAACAATGGAGTAGATGCAATCTGGTAACTGAAGAAATGTCAGGGACTAGAGCAGCAGAGACCAAGATGATGGCGATTTGGGTTCCAGAGTTGGAGTGGTTGGTAATGCCACTGATGGAGATGGAATCCCAGGTGTGGGGAGTGATTGGAGGTGTGTCAGCCTGTGGTGAGCCTGCAGAAGGCAGGCCCCAGCACTGCGGCAGTGGCCACAGTGGCCATCCATTCTGCCTTGGGGCTCCTTGTCGCAATAATTTGCTGAACCTGTTGTGGGGAAGGAGGGTTGAACCTGCAAGCTGCCTGGGTACTGGCAATGCAGCTGAGAGAAGTTAGGCTGGAGGAGAGCTAGTGAGGGATTCCTCAGGGACTGGCTAATCACCCACTGAGTTCACATCACTCTTGCTTTTCTTCCACACAAAATAATGTCTATTCTGTTGCAATGCACAGAGGACTCAGGCACTTGCCATGATACTTTAGGTGAGAATTAGTTCAGATTTTATATTTTCCAAGGCCCTGGTTCCCTCGTATGTTCCCCTAGAGAAGAGCTAAAAGATGCAATTGCCAATATTGCAGAATATTGCAGAATTCAGGATCCTAAGAGCAGGTCCAGGGCCTTTTACAATGTCATAGACTCACGGTGTTCTAGAGACAAGTCTGCCCTATATTACGGATGGAGAAACTGAGTCTTTGCGAAATCATGGTCCTTTGTCAGCTGTTAGTGAGTGGCAGAAATGGGCCCAGGCCCTTGGGCTCCAGAGGTTTTGCTTTCTCCACTGACACACAGGGAGGCTGCTGTCTTGCAGAGGAGCCTCCAGGGTTTCCTATAAAATAGCCCTGGGGGCCGGGCGTGGTGGCTCACACCTGTAATCCCAGCACTTTGGAGGCCGAGGCTGGGTGGATCACCAGACGTCAGAAGTTCAAGACCAGCCTGGCCAACATGGTAAAACTTCATTTCTACTAAAAATACAAAAATCAGCTGGGCATGGTGGCAGGCACCTGTAAGCCCAGCTATTCAAGAGACCAAGGCAGGAGAATTGGTTGAACCCGGGAGGCGGAAGTTGCAGTGAGCTGAGATCATGCCATTGCACTCCAGCCTGAGTGACAAGAGCAAGACTCCATCTCAAAATAATAATAATGAAAAAAAAATTTTGTTTAAAGCCCAGGGGACAATTTTATAGACAGGTCGATGGTCCATTTCAAACTGGTACACTTTTTGTTCCTACCAACACAACACACACACACACACACACACACACACACACAAAGAAACAGCAACAACAACAAAAACCAGCACATTGTTCCACTCATCCATCTGTTGGTCATTTCTTTGCCTTTTCAAATTGCTTTCTTTCCTGTGAGAGAAATTTGATAAAGCACAGTTTAGTTAGAGCTGTAAAGGGTTCCATCCAAGTACAGGGTCAGGGGGAAGTCCCAATAAAGCCAGATGGTACCTGTGTGCACCACCAGAATCCTAAGGCACAGGCAGGGAAGCAGGAAAGGAGAGGATGGCTGTAAGGATCGAGGAAGGAGGAGAGACAAAGTGCAGAGAAAAAGGAAAAGAGGAAAAGCTCAGTTTGTGCGGCAGACACGTCAGTGGCATGGGCATAGCCTACTTGGGGACCTGTACTTTGGGAACCTGGCTCCCTAGTACTCAGAGGCAGCATGAAGCAGGGAGATAACCAGGTGGACATGAAGAAGCCAAAGGGAGTCACTCTTATAATACATCATCCAACCTCGGGCACTGCCTGGAATAAAAGGGGGAATATTCATAGCAATGCTGGGACCACAAGCATAGCCAGGATGTCCCAGGCAAACTGGTCACCTTCACAACAGCAATGCACAGAAAGTGCCAAGCACAGCCCAAGGGCTGTCCGTGTATTCCCTTGTGGAAGCCTCACTGCAACCCAATTGGCTAGGCACTGCCATCGTGCCCATTTTATACAGAAGTTAACTGAGGAAGAGAGAGGCACAGTATCATGTCTACGGTCACATAGCCAGTACACGGTTGAGGCAGGATTTGAACTCAGGCAACTTGGCTGTTTCAGAGCCTGCACCATAAGCGTCATGCTCCACTGGCTCTCTACTCACCAACATTATCCACACGAAGACACCCCCTTCCCCTCACAGGACTCAGCAGAGGGACCTTTGGGGTCTGTTTCCCCTCACAGCTGCTCTAACTGGTCAAGTTAGCATGATGTCATCCGGATGACATAAACAAGTTTGCGGTCAGGCTGAGGTGAGGGGGAGGACAACCTTCAGTCGGGTTCGTCCTCTACAGGCTCCATACCTTGGACACAGTGCTCAGTCTTGGCCTCAGGTCTTGGAGTTCTCAGTCATCCTTGCCTTGTAACTGCTCTGCCCTTTCACTGAAGGCTGAGTTAGATACAGGAAGGACCTCCTGAAGTTCAGAGTTAGGGACGGGTTCCTCTAGGACCTCATCTGCCTGGGGCAACTAGAGGGTGCCACCCTGTGATGACAAAGTTATCTCCAGGGCCTCTTCCAGCTTGAGGGCTATAGAATTTTCTTTTGTGACAGATTCTTCAGGAGACAGTGCATGCCCCTCGTCAGTGTGTTTTGGCTCCCAGCCCTGGCTTTCTCAGAATGCCAGCAAGACACTTTCTTCCCTTGTCTGTTGACATATCCTGGATGGGGCTGGCCAAGGGAGGCATTTATAGGGCAGCAGGCTCTATGGTGGGTGGAGTCTGACTCTGGGTGATGCTCCACGTGTTTCTAGAAGATGCAGGGAGGTAGGAGCAGGCAAGCTTCCCCTGTGGTTCAGATTCCAAGGGCCTCTGTCTGCACCCCATCTGTGCTGAAGCTCCCTCATTCACACAATAGAGCTGCTCTGCCTGGGGGTGGACAAATGTGAGGCTGGGCCTGAGAACTTGTGGGAAAGTGGAAACGGCGTTTTACCCAAGCAGATTCCAGCAGTGAGGTTGGATAGGCTTGACACCCAGCCCTGTGCTTGTGGTGTACCCCTGAGCCTGTGGAACGCTGTGCCCTTCTGGGCTTAGTTAGAGGAAAGGTGAGAAGGTTGAGACGTAGCACACATGCGACAGGTGCACCAGGACAAGCTGGAACCAGTGGGTGTGGCTGCCCTCCTCCCAGAACCTTCAGTTGTATTTCTGTGAAGTAAAGACAGCTTCCTTTACTCCCTTTTTAACTCACAGCAGCACCAGGGGACGTGGGAGGTTGGCTACAATGACCCAATTACCAGTGCAGACAAGAGGAAAATCTCCTATTACCTGGGAGATTGGTTTATTTTCACTTTATTTACTTTAGAGATTGCTCAGCATTGAGCTCTGGGATTTGCAGTCTGCTAGAGTTCTCTTGGTAAATGGATGGAGCTTTGCCACATTGTCCACTGCGCATAACCACATACCTTCACCTGCTGGGATGGAGGGTTGGATTGGTGCGGATGCGGGAGGGAGGCCAACTTCCTGCAGCCCCACTTTGACCAAACATGGAACTCTAGGGACCTTCTTTCCACGGCACCTCAAGGTTGATGCACAGAAATACACCAGGCATGGCTGAGAATTTGGCATAAATGAACTCATCTTTATAACAGATTTAGGAAATAGGCACTGTTATCATTCTCCCCATTTTATAGATGAGGAAGCCAAGGTCGCGAGAGGCTGAGTAACTTTTCCAAGGTCACACAGCTGATAAGAGGCTGAGCTGGGATTTGAATCCAGGCAGTCTGGCTCTAGGGCCAAGTCCTCAACCATTCCACAGCCTGCCGTCTCTGAATGCTTAGTGCAAAGCCTGGGTTGTGACTCTAACCAGTCATGTGTCTTTGGGATTAGCCCTCTAAACCTGAGTTTCTTTTCTCTTCATTGAAGTGGGAATACAGGAGTTACCTGTTGATCCGTGTCAGGTGAATTAAGGGATGTGAGGAAGCACGTGGTCCATGCACACGTGACCCCATGGGTCATGGTGGCGTTACCTCTTTTGAGAGCTTGTGGTTGAGTTCCATGCTAAGGGTGTACTCCTCCCCTTGTTGGTCCTTCTCAACCAACTTGTTGAGATGTACTCCTCCCCTTGTTGGTCCTTCATAACTTGTGCTTGTCTTGGACTGAAATTCCCTAGGAGGCAGAGGCAGAGTCTCTCACCTAATCAGCTTCTATGTGTGCTGAGTCCCTGATGTGCCAGCAAAGGCCCCTGCAGCGTGTCTGGTCTAAGAAGAGAGGGGTGGTCCATGCAGCAGGCATGCACAGTCCCTTTGAGGGGATGTGTTTTTTCAAAATAACACAGACTGGGTGGCTTGGACAACCAAAATTTATTTTCTCACAGTTCTAGAGGCTGGACGTCTAAGATCATGATGTCAGTTTGGTGGGTAGAGGTTCTCTCCTTGGCTTGCAGAAAGCCACTTTCTTTTTGTGTCCTCACATGGCAGGGAGAGGGAGAGAATAGGAGAGGAAGAAGGGAGAGGGAGGGTGGAGGGAGAAGGGCAGGGGAGAGGGAGGAGAGAGAGATGGGTGGGGGGGAGAGAGAGAGCAAGAGAGAGAGAGAGAGCTCTCTGGTGTCTCTTCTTAT